TTGTGTATAGTAAACATTTTTCAAGTTTAATTTGATGTTTCGAAGTGTTTAATTAGAGAATAAAGTTTAGGGGTTATGTTTAGGGATTAGACGACTGAAATTTCAGTCGTCTGCTTTAAATTATTTCCCAGACGACTAAAATTTCAGTCGTCTGCTTTAAATTATTTCCCAGACGACTGAAATTTCAGTCGTCTGCTTTAAATTATTTCCCACACGACTGAAATTTCAGTCGTCAACTTTAAATTATTTTCCAGACGACTGAAATTTCAGTCGTCTAATTGTACTGAACCGTTAGTTTTAACATTTTACGTTTTAACCTAACCGGATTTTTACCGGACATAGAAAAGTTATTTTTTTCACTTTTTCACAGTTTTCCGAAACCCTAGCGCCGTTTCTCTCCAAGGACGATTGTAAAGGCGATTTCGACGAATCTCTCCGATTTCGACGAATCTCTCCGTTTTCGCCGGTAATCTCTCCGATTTCGACGAATCTCATTTTTCTTTCATGCCTTAGAGTATTTTCGTAGTTTAAACTGACCATCCGCTTCCTTTTTTCAGATCTGAAATCTCGTAGCCCTTTCGACGAAGGCGTTTAGCCGCCGGAAAACCCTAAAAATTGTAGTCTTGACTCTTCTTTTTCCTTCGATATGCAGATTTGTAACCGCTAGGGACCACATCTTCTCTGACTGTAAGTCGTCTGAGTAGTCTTCTCACTTCCTGGAAGCCTTCTACGAAGTCTTACTCTCTGGACGACTTACATGTAAGTCGTCTCGAGAGTAAGACTCTGTAGGAGACTTCCAGGAAGTCGTCTGAGTAGTCTTCTCACTTCTTGGAAGCCTTCTACGAAGTCTTACTCTCTGGACGACTTACATGTAAGTCGTCCAGAGAGTAAGACTCTGTAGAAGACTTCCAGGAAGTCGTCTGAGTAGTTATCTCACTAGTCTTCTATAGTATTTAGAATAGTGCGCTACCTTTGTGGTTGAGATGGTTGTTTGTGATTGTTTGCTGGCCTTAAAATGGATATATCAGAACTACCGCCGAGGTTGTTTACATTAGGAGAAGATCCCCCTGCACAGAGGAGCATTTCGTATCATTCTGACGACAAGAAGTTGTTTCAAGCTCTATCTGATAATCTCAGACCTGAGGAATATGAGGATCTGAAAGCGTCAAAGTTGGGATTATTCATCAAGTTCAAGGAGCTTGGCTTTGGTTGGACTTCAAGGCTTGTACATTTTATTCTCTCCTTCCAGCTGGACATCAAGAAGAAGTTTGAGCTCTAGACTCTTGCCGGACCAAAACCTTTGAGGTTTTCAATTCTAGAGTTTGAAAACCTCACAGGTCTGAACTGCGACTACATCCCGAATTTGGAAAATCCAAGGTGTGAGATTTCTCAGGAGATG